CTACAATTTGTTCAATAAGGTACTACATGAACTGCATATAAATGGCTTGAATATACTGATTATTGTACACCTGTTACTGGCTTACTAAACTATAAAGTTACGATGTGTGATTTCAGTAAGCTAAGGGTAAGGAATTGATTGAAATACAGAGTTTTTCAAATAAATCTCTAATCCAGAAAAAGAGTTACAAGAGAGTCTTCAACTACTTTGGTAACATCACTGCATATAAGAAACTGAGAAATGTACTAACCGATCTTCAACAGCTGTAGCACCAAGTAAAATAAAATCTCTTTCGATCTTCTCATACACTTCTGCCAATTTCTTTTCCCGGTCCTGGAGGGCCAACTTTGCATTCTGAAGCAGCTTCTGTGCATTGCTATATTCTTCCGCTGTGAGCTTTTTATATGCAACACACAATGTCCGCAGTCCCTCCTAAAGCATGTAATCAAAAGAAACAAAATGCCTCTTAGAAAACTCTTCTTAGACTTCTTGCTGGTGTTTATGCTGGAGTAACAGTAAAATCATTCCCATTTTTCAAATAACACGAGGAGTCCCACTAACTCACTTTTATAGTGAAGGGAATATAGTATAGACTAGTACAGTACAGTACAGCATGGACTAGTACAGTACAGCATGGACTAGTACAGTACAGACTAGTACAGTACAGCACGGACTAGACCAGAACATGGGTCAGCTTGATTCCGTGCTGCCCAGGAAGCAGTTACAACCTGAGGGACAAACCTCCATCCTCCAGAAAAGAAACCGCTCAGCAACCCAACTGGATGTATGAGATTACCAGGGAAAAGAGAGTCAAGGTAAAGGTTTCCTTCCCTACATGAGGCAGGATGAGTCAGAATAAATAACAATAATATAAATAGTAGTTCTGTAGAGTCTGATTTTGATGCTGTGTTAGCAGAGACAGGAACGGGGACAAAACAACACAGAGTGTTGAAAGTGAAAATCCAACTGTGCCACTTTAGTCAAGCGAAAAGTTGAATTTAGCTGTGGGTGTTTCAGACTGGATCAGACTTTTGGCCTGTGCGACGAATAAGAAAGGGGGTATCTAGACTGCGTAAGGCGGAAAAAAGCTGTTATAACACAGAAAAGAAGTTTTGCCACCTCAAATACATTGCCTCTCACAACACAGTTTAACTGGCACTTTTATCTTCATAAACTTTAATCCAGTAGGTCTTTGTAAGGTGACTTATTTCCAATCCAAGGAGTATTAAAATAGCTCCCTGACTGTTGCTATTGGTAAGGGCAGGTGCCAGGCAGCTGCCTCTACCCTCCTTCAGAGGCTTCCATATGTAGGAGCCAGCCCGACTTCCAGTTGTCCAGGGTGAAGAAATAGCTGTTGATCTGGATTTCTTTCTTGACAGACATTGGATGGATACAACAAGCAAACACTTTTCTGTTTCATTAGCCTCCTCCACTTGTAATTATCAGACAGCTGTTTCATACAGCAAAGCTTAGCAAAGCACTTCGACAGAGTTTTGAAGTTTCCCTTCAAAACAAAAGCACGTAACACTGCAGGTGTTTTTTCACACACACCTGTAATATCACTTTGTTTTCAGTTTGAGTACTGGATGCCAGGGAATTTTATCCCATTTAAGACTGACAGTCATATTTCATTGCAATGGGTTCTGCATATTTTTGGACACAGCAAAATTCAGTATTTTACAACTCCAAATACTGCGTTTTAGGTAAAAACAAGTTCTGAATTTCTTTCAAAGGTGATCAGGCAGTTCATAGCTCATTTTTAGCAAGCAAAAATATAAGGATGATCACTGCACTGTTTCCCCATAAAAAGTGCCTTTGTTGCTACACTGTGCACTAATGGATTTTTCTCTTTTAAGAGCTTATTTTTAAGAGCTTATAAAGCAACCAGAGGCAGCAAATCACAATTGCTGAGGCTGGGGACTGAAAGCAGGGATGAGATTTTTTCAGTGAAGTTTTTCCCTTTTCTTTCATTCAAAAGTTAATTCAGACAACCACAGTGCCATACTAAAAAGCTAGTTGATGATCTCTGGTATAAAATACAGCTGTGCATATCTAATGCACTCTTATCTCACCACAACTGCCATTTGGAAGGTGAGATGGAGGACAGATTCAAATAAGACTGCTACCCATACAGCCTGTGTGCACTTTGGCATACAATAATCTCAGTGCCTGGGAAGACAAACCTGTTATCAGATCAAGCAGGAGGTCAGAACGCTTAATTACTTTTTTTTTTTTGACACTGATATCACATGAACAGACCAATAAAATGGAATCTTACCACTGCATTGCGTTCAACTCTGGATCGTATTTGGTCAACTTTGCCTTCTTTAACTCTAGGAAATATGGAAGAATCTGCTCCCTTACAAAACAGAAATATATCACCTAAAAGAGACAGCATACAGAATTCAAAATGGCCAAATATATCTTTCTTCAAAAACACATCCAAATTACTAAGTCCTTAAAAAGATTTCTTCCAACTTTTTTATAACATTTGCAGTCATGCTGGTACCCAGTCCCCTTTTTTATAAAGAAAGGCACACAGACTGTGATTAACGCCAAACTATCTGATAAACCTGAAAACAAAAACACCTAAGAAGAAACAGAATGTGACAGCCCTACCTGTTGAAGATTTAACAATTACACTCATTCGCCGTCTCACAGAATCAAAACTCAAAACCTCTAATAATTCAAACCTGAAACAGAAACAGAGAATTTCTTAAACAACTCTGCTTTTCCAGATCCCTAGACTGGTTATTATGACTTTGAGCTTATCCATTAAAATATGACTTCTAACATGGAATATTATGTTGAGTACTATGGAATATGGAACTCGTACAGAAGGAAACAGAAGGTTACAAATAAGAAATAGGGGAGACTCTCAGCTCCTAATTACTTGAAACAGAATTTGTGTGTATGACGTTCATAAGTACCTTTGGATGTACAGTCAACATAATTCATTTAAGCAGAGAACTAGAGCACTGTACTGCTTATAAAGTAAATTCCTACCTAGGCATAGCCTTAGAACTTGAAATGTGTAGGTGTTTACACAGAAGTCTTTATTTAATATTTTTCTTTAATATTTCTAATAA